TCATTGATAATACATTAATGATATTGCATTAAATTATATAGTACATATAAATAATACCTAATAAATAGATTTGCAATTACTTATTACTAATTTTCTAGATATGTAACAAACTTTACTATAATTCACTACAATAACTTCATTATAATCATGGTGTAGATATCTAATTCCACCATGCATTATAATCATAATATGTGCAAAAAATATTATATTCACATCACAATAGACTCACAATAGTCACAGATAGATAATAATGTCATTGTGAGATTATCAAAAAGTCGCAACGATATAACATTATATTATCTTAATCTATGTGTGTCATAGCAGTGAAGTGTAATTTTTATCAGTTTCATAATATCATAGTGATATCACACTTATGACATTCACCATGACTTTATTATAATATTATTGAAACTCTTTTTGCTATGAGGATCACATTGATTTGTACTGTCCATTCCAAATTCAAGTCAATCAACGACATTGCAGGAATTCTAGTTCTTAGATTCCAAACGGATTCGAAATTCACTCACCTGTTACGGGACTCTCGCATGAGCATGGTGAATCGCTCCTCCAGTCGGATTCTCTCCTCCTCACTGAAAATTTTGCGATGTTATCAACAATTCCTGCGTTCGCAAGATTTATCCTGGAAGATGTGATATACTTGCCTCTTCCGCAGCTTCTCCTGAAGTTCAAACATTCTCTTGTAATAATCGTGACCATCGTAAAGCGGTGCCATGCTGCGCGCCATTCAGAGACCAAAAAGTTGAAGGACGATCGTCACACATCGAGGCGATCGACATACAATCGATTCAAATAATACTCCACGCGACGGAAGTTCAAGTTTACGTTTTGTGCGATTCGAAAGACGAGAGTATCTTGCGGCATCTATCGTGCAGCATAATCGTGATTCGAGGAATTTTTTGGCATATCTGAAACAGATGTGAAGACAATAATGCAAATTCTCGAAACGAACGCATTTTTACTCTCATCGACTTTTCAGTTTTCTAGTTTAAATTTCTGAATTTAAAATTATGTTAATTTCTACAAAAGAAATACGAACTTTGTAAAATAAATAATGAGTGGAAGGAATACCAGACTAAAGTTTTGAAAAAATAGAAGTTTTTAAAAAGAGAGATTTCATAAACAATGATTAAAAATGAGTAAAACTCATTAAATATAAAGTGACAGTAATATTACTTCAATATATAATTATGCTGATAATTTTTCTTACTTAACAATGTAACTTATTACGTATAATACGGTATTATATTACATTTCTATCGTTAAGTGAGAAATTATAATATTGATGTAATATTACTACTACTTCGTGTTTAGCGGGAAATAATCGGAGAACATAGAATATTTAAATCATAAAAGAGCGAACGTTACTTAAAAAGAATTAAACATTTTTAAAGGAAAAGTATAAAATAAGAATCAGTTAAAAAGGAATAGAATTAAAGATTCAACATGATGATTAAATTGTGAGGCATACTTTTAAATTCAAAAATGATCAAACGAAGATTAAGTTATTAGGGCGAGAATTCGAGTGTCGTTTCACGACACTCGAATCGCCCAGAATTGTTCACAATGGCGGTATAGATGCAACAATAATGGAATGAACACTTGGTGTGCGCGAGGTATTCGAGTTCAATATCGTCAAGGCCTTCAGGGCGAAGAAACGATCCTTCGTCATGCCGACGCGGCGAGCAACTGTCGCGGTCGAATCGTCGAGTCTACCGTGGCAGGTCGGGGCTGTTTCAGCAGGTAAACGCAGGTGTTACGTTCCCTACTCCCTTTATGCCGAGCGAATTCATGCGACTAAGCAGCAGTTATTTAATTTGAATTTCACAATGTTATGAAACGCGTGGGTCCGCGTTCTCCACGTGTGTAACTGGTACCCGCATGATTTTCAGAACTGTATCAGTCGCGATTTTTTATATTGTTAAAATCAAATCTTCATATATATAATTAAAGAAATAAAATGATTATACATTTGATATAATTACGAAAGAAGAAATAAGAAGTTTAATTATTAATATATATTTTTGACACCTCTTTTTTGCCAAAATAAAGTTTCTAGCTTTTATAGTTTTTAATATCCAGTTACAGAAAATGAATATTTTTAACATTTATTTTAATTTAATAAATTTTTGGCGGAACAAATTTTTCCGGGTTATTCTGAGTTTAATTCTTCCATTGTTCTTAACGCTGTTTCTCCAACACGATCCTAAAGTTAGAAATTTATCGATGATTATTATCGCAACATTATTATGTATAATAAATAATAAAAAAAACTTTCTAAATACTTATAAAGAAATACTTATAAAAAGAATAATAGAACATTAGACACTAAAATTTTCATTTTTTGATTCCTTATCTCAAATTCTATTTTACGAAGAATAATGACGCAATTGAAACAGTAGGGATCAAGTTAAAATTTGTGGTACCTCGACGTAACTCCAACGTCAATCGCAACGCTGAAGTATTACAATCGATAAAAGTCACATTGCAGTAGTTAGCGACGAAATATAACTAAATTCCATCGATCGGGCATGAAAGGATATGCTTAAGGATGCAATCTGTGGCGCAGTACTCTATGCGGTCACATCGCGTGCCAGTTGCAAATTTTCTCCTAGATATCGTGTGCCCCGACTTCCTACCTTCCAGTTAGTTGATTCACCTTGATAAAAGCGAAATAAGAGAGGGTGTATAATTGTGTACAAACCAACACTATGCCGCATTAATAAATTATGAATACATTGCTGTTTATTAACTACATCAAGGAATACATTTATGTTTTTCAAGAATACTGTTTTTATATAAATATAAAACGAGTAAAGAATGATAATTCATAAAAAGATTTGTTTGTGCTTTCGTGTCTTCTAGCACACACATATCTTTCACCACCTCTTTATGCCACCTTTCTATATTTTGCACGCAAATGTTCCGTCAACTCTGGTGTTTTCGATGTCGCCATGTAGAAAACAAGCTCCAAGTTGTCGCCGTTGCGTTTGTACACTCGACGTGTCTGTTGTAGAGACAAAAGAATGTTAATTAAAATCAACTTTTTCCATTTACATATTAATATTCAATATTTGCGAGGACAAATATATTACATAAAAAGTGAATAAGTGTAACATACAAAAGAAAAATGTCTTGTAACTGGAGAGACAACATTCGATTAATAAATCTATATTTAAAAATAAATAAAAAATATAGAATAAAAATAAAAAATTTATCATATAATCATATAAGGCATTATGGTACATCAGATGACATCATATTCTTAAATCATGATTGTCAAATCGACAAGAGCTCTTCTAAAGATTTGTCCCCTGAAGCCGATCATGCTGTGATCGACATACTGGTTTCTTCATCTTTGATTTAAAAAAAAAAGCAGAAGAAACCATGCCAATCGCGATGTGGTCAATTTCAGAAGAGAGTTAAAAACAAGTCTTTATAAAGCTTTTTGTGTTTAGAAAAATTTAGAGAGATTAGACAATTTTCTTTTTTCTCTTTGTTAAATTTTTATTTACTTATTCAGAATCTTTACCCATTCGCGATCATATCTACAGCTACAAGACATCCAATATATACCCAAAAACTTAATTGTACCTTTGTTAAAGTCGGGAAAGATGGTACCGATGCATCTGTCGTCAGTATATTGTTGCTGTTTAAGTCGATGGTATTGTTATCATTGCTCATCAGATCACCCTGTTCGACCGTAAACAATCCTATGTTATCAATTAGACTAAGTACGATCTTGTTAGTTCCTGGTAAGATCTGCAGGAAGCCGGTCTCTCGATGCATCGGTGTTCCTGAATCCGGATGCCAGCTCTGCGCAATGTAATTAAACATCGGCTGACCTATGGACGTAATGTTTATCTCATCGTAGTAATTGAAGGGCTTGATGGTCGGGTACGTGCCCACTGCGGGCTCATCCGTTATCCACGTGCCCTCCAACCAGGCCAGCACGTGCAATAGCTCATGCAGCTGCAAGATCTTCATCTCCATCTTTGCACAGTTGTAGTTAGCAATCTAGTAGTCTAATAAGGTTTCTGATTGACTTTTCGTATATCTACGCGTCTTCAACAGATGTATACTTCATACTGAGATAGCAACGTGAGATTCCCAATATTTTATAGCGGGGAGCACAGACTCTTGCATAACGCATAACACGTATACAAAAATGTACCAATCGAAGTCCTTTGTTTCCTTCCTTTCTATGAAATAAAAAACTCTGATTGGTTAAATTTCTTATGTCTTATGTATTATGCGTAATGCAAGAGTCTGTGCTTGCCGCTTATACCTTCGCATCATCCCGTAATCTCATTTATTACATGAAACTATACGCAAGCATTATTTAACGTTCTGTAACATCACAAACATTTACTTGATACTTATCTCACAAATGAAAATCGCGATTGTCAATCGGAAAAATATACGTTCCATGTATTATTACAGATCTATTCTTTTCAGCATCTATAGTTTTTCTCTTTCTCTCTCTTACGTTTAATTATATATACATATATATTCAAAGTGCAGAAAACATAATATATAATCACGAAAAACAGGTCTTAAGCTGTTACATAACAAAAAAGTGAACACCTTTTTATGGTAAGTTCGTGAAATCTGCGATGAAATATTACTAATAATAAATTTGTCATGCATACACAGATTCTCA